GATCTGTAAGTAGAGGAGTTCCACACCACTACTTTGCCACTTGCCATTTTATAATTCAGTGATGCTTTCATTTTTTTTGTTAACACTGACCCACATGTCTAAGTTAAAATAAGCTACCGGTAGTTATTTTCTGTAAATAAAGAATTAGGATTCCTGTGATATTCACATCCTCTATACATTTTTTTAGGGTGTAGGAAATGGCAGAGACTACTGGACTTGCTCTACTTTTTCTCCACATCTCTCATAACTGAAGGAGGTACACATAGAAGCTGACATGAGATGCCTTGGCCTTCTTTTTTACTACTTCTGTAAAGCATAACTAACTAAAGTCCTGCTCTGAAAAATTGCTAGACATTAACATTTATGGCAAAAGAGACATGCAAAGTATCCTTCGCCAAAAAAAATGTATACAATTTATATCACCCTGAGAGTGGCAAGAACAGATGTTTAAGTTTGATTTAGAATTCAGACTACAATAAAAAACAGATCAGTTAGCTGATTTGAGACTCTGGTGGAATATTCTTCAGGCTTGGAAAGGAAATCTTTTGACCTTTATAAGCGGTCTCAGCAGAGTGCATATACTTTGTGAGTTAATGTGATACAGTCAAATAGCGAGTTAGCCCACCAAGCATGATTGTTGTGGTTAGTGAGTTTCAGCAATAGTGAGAATCGCTGTCAGGTCAGGCTCAGAGAACACACTCCAATATTACACAATCCAGTTACTATTTGCTGCATATGCCTGTAGAGAAAAAAAAAAAAATTAACAGGTAAGCAATGGTAATTAGAAACCGTGAGATTTTGAGGAAGAAGCCAATATAATGCTTATATATGCAATGAGCCTTACTTTTGGTTCACTGCCTGGAAGATAGGTACATATCTTCAACATAGAGATTGCTCAAGACAGTGTGAGAAATGAAACCACATGCCCTAGAAATTGAGAAATGTTGGTGGTATAATTTTCTATGTTTGCACAGGATTTTTATTTAAAACATTTTTTTTGCAAGGTGAAGATCAACATCTTTCTGGCACAGTAGAAATAAGTATAAATTTAAACATTGCCAGCAATTTTGCAGCAATTTAAAGTAGTTGTAAACCCTCACATATACGCAGTGAAGTGAGTGGCCTCCATGATACCCAGAGATAAAAGAAATCCTCTACATAAGTTGTACCTGTGTAACTACAGCTGTCTGTCCTCTACATCCATTCAAAGTGCAGAATTTACATAGGAACTCTCAGTTCTGAAAAGCAGGGAGCAGGGAGATGAAGTTACACTTATTGAGGAGAGCTTTGAGAGCTGACTGGAGGGAAGGAACACATCCCCCTTCACACAGCACACAGGTACGGAATTGAGTCTGTCAATCACAACTTGTGCCCTCCCTTGTCAACATTTTGGTGTCAGGAGAACTCATCAGAAGTTACTCTTACAGATAGAAGAGGAGCGAAGCAACGTACAGAAACAATACTTTGTGCTCTTAATTGAGACAAGTACACACTATAGAGGGATATGCTTTGTTCATATTTCATGCCTGAGGTTTACAACTACTTTAAATCACTTTCAGTCAACTCCTAAAATGGGTAAAAGCAACCTAGCACTGTCATCTATATTGTTAATATATATATATTATTATATTATTATTATTATACAGTATTTATAAAGCGCCAATAGTTCACTCAGCGCTGTACATTACAAAGGGGGACAGAACATGTGACAGAACAATACCAATACAATGCAAAACATGAGGGGATCGAGGGCCCTGCTCTTTCGAGCTTACAATCTAGAATATATACATATACATACACTATATTGCCAAAAGTATTGGTACACCCCTCCAAATCATTGGATTCAGGTGTTCCAACCACCTCCATGGCCACAGGTGTATAAAATCAGGCACCTAGGCATGCAGACTGCTTCTACAAACATTTGAGAAAGAATGGGTGGAGCTCAGTGAATTCAAGCGTGGCACCGTAATAGATTGCCACCAGTGCAATTAGTCCATCCATGAAATTTCCTTGCTACTACGGTCAACAGTTAATGGTATTATAACAAAGTGGAAGCAACTGAGAACAACATCAACTCAGCCATGAAATGGTAGGCCACATAAAATGACAGAGCGGGGTGCTGAAGCGCACAGTATGCAGAAGTCGCCAACTGTCTGCAGAGTCAATAGCTAAAGAACTCCAAACTTCGTGTGGACTTCAGATTAGCACAACAGTGCATAGAGAGCTTCATGAAATGGGTTTCCATGGCCGAGCAGCTGCATCCAAGCCTTACATCTCCAAGTGCAATGCAAAGCATAGGATGCGCGGTGGCATAAAGCATGCTCTGGAGTGACGAATCATGTGACTTTGTCTGGCAATTCAATGGACATGTCTGGGTTTGGAGGTTGCCAGGAGAATGGTACTTGCCTGACTGCATTGTGCCAAGTGTAAAGTTTGGAGGAGGGGGGGTTATAGTGTGGGGTTGTGTTTTAGGGGTTGGGCTTGGCCCCTTAGTTCCAGTGAAGGGAACTCTTAAGGTGCCAGCATACCAAGATATTTTGGACAATTTCATGCTCCCAACTTTGTGGGAACAGTTTGGGGATGGCCCCTTCCTGCTCCAACATGACTGCGCTCCAGTACACAAAGCAAGGTCCATAAAGACATGGATGAGTGAGTTTGGGGTGGAGGAACTTGACTGGCCTGCACAGAGTCCTGACCTCAACTCAACAGAACACCTTTGGCATGAATTAGAGTGAAGACTGCAAGCCAGGCCTTCTCATCCGACATACGCGCTTCTGGAATAATGGTCAAATATTCCCATAGACACACTCCTAAACCTTGTGGACATCCTTCACTGAAGAGTTGAAGCTGTTATAGCTGCAAAGGGTTGACCAATTCAATATTGAACCTTACGGACTAAGACTGGGATGCCATTAAAGTTCATATGCATGTAAAGGCAGGCTTCCCAATACTTTTGGCAATATAGTAGTGTGTGTGTATATATATATATATATATATATATATATGTATTTCATAAAAAAATGGATATAATTATATGTTTATATGTATATTAACCCCTTCACACCAACGTCACACACATATGCAGCCTCACAGAACGGGGCTTTTTTCCGTGGGGCCTCATACCTGTCCTTGTGCTGGGAGCACACTGCACAGCACGCTCCCAGCAAAAGACCGGGGTGTCACTGAGAGCCACAGGTCCCATTCTAACAATTGATTCTGGGTCACATGATTACTGTGATAGCCTCTGATTGGCTATCGCAGTGATCAGTCACTTTGTATCTCTCTCTTTCCTTGCATAGAGAAAACAAAAACAAAAAAACAGTTTTTTAGAAAAAGGTAAAGAAACAAAGAAGTATTAAAAAAGAAAAGAAAAAATAAAGAAAAAATATCTAGATCAAGGTTTGATCTAGTTCAGTGCCAGGGTTAGTGTTTGGGTCAAAGTCAGAGTCAAAAGTCATGATTTTTTTTTTTTTTATTATTGGTATCAGTGTCAGTTAGTGTCAGTGACAGTGTGTTTTAGGTAAAAAAAAACAAAAACAAAATGAGCACTATTGTTTCTGGGGGTGTACTGTGGGTATAAACAACAAATAACAGGCATCGCTGCAATCGTCAAGAGCTGGAAATTTTATTTTGGGTTGATCTTTGGTAGTAGGTTATGGTAGTAACAAGAAACACACAACTACATTAAAAAAAAATGTTTTTTTTTACTATATTGGGCCAGTTTTCCTTTGATAATAAAAAAAATCAGGAGATATCCATTACCATTTACCACCAAATGAAAGCCCAATTTGTCCTGAAAAAAAACAAGGTATAATTCACCTGGATTTACAAAGTAGTTGTGATGATATGCCACATGTCAAAGTTGCAAAATTGTGCTTAGGTGTTAACATTTGTTTTACCCTTAGGCGTGAAGGGGTTAAGGTGGAAGGATGTTGGTGGTTTGCCTTCTGTATTGCAAGCTGAAGGCATTACGTAAATAGCAAGGCTTCAATTGGGAGTTACGCTAACTACTTCCTAAATAACATTCACTGTTTTGTCCTCCATTCTTTTAGGAAGGCCCAGCTGGAATGGCTGCAGTCTGCTTGCAAATTCCTGCTCCTTCAATCCTGTTTGATAATTTGGCAAGAAGTTCCTTTTTTAGAGTATATTATTCAGATTAGGCAATTATGTTGTTACTATGAAAGTGAACCTCTGCTTTGCCTGTTCACTTGAATACCTGAAATGACTTGGAAATGACACAGGGATAAGGACTTTCCCCATCCACATGTGACATCAATGGGTACATGAGCCTATCAAGTAGGATAAGGGGAATCACATACACCAGAATTACCAGGTATGTCACTGTGGTTCTCTGAGGAAATGGTAAGTATAAACAGCAGAGTGGAGTGGGAGGAAGATGGAGGGGTGGGCATTAAACTGAATCTGTTTGCCTTGCCCCTCACGGGCAAAATACAGGTTCATTTTTGTGTAATGTATACATTTAGATGTGATTACATTCTGTGAATGATTCTTGAATTTGAATTTTCTTGATAAATTTCCTCTCAGCATGGTAAACTCCTCTGAACTTTCAAAACATTGTTTTAATTTCAGAGGAGTGCAGTTCGTCCCGACATTCTATAAACTTTTTTTTTTAAATGACTAATAAGGTTTTAATTAGGTAGCAGATTAAAATATTTATGTTTTATTTTATAGGTTTAATTTAGGATGAAAAGAGGAAAAAATTAGAAAAAAAATGGAAGCGAATCTGTGGTCAAAATGTAAAATCATATACCATATTTTTTGCTCCATAAGACGCACCTGACCATAAGACGCACCTAGGTTTTAGAGGCAGAAAACAGGAAAAAAAATTCTGAACTAATGGACTGCAGACATAGTACAGGAGATGACCAGAGACTGCGACACAGCACAGGAGATGACCAGAGACTGCAGACACAGTTCAGGGGATGACCAGAGACTGCGGCCACAGTACAGGAGATGACCAGAGACTGCGGACACAGTACAGGAGATGACCAGAGACTGCGGACACAGTACAGGAGATGACCAGAGACTGCGGACATAGTACAGGAGATGACCAGAGACTGCGGACATAGTACAGGAGATGACCAGAGACTGCGGACACAGTGCAGGGGATGACCAGAGACTGCGGACACAGTGCAGGAGATGACCAGAGACTGCGGACACAGTGCAGGGGATGACCAGAGACTGCGGACACAGTGCAGGGATGACCAGAGACTGCGGACACATTGCAGGGATGACCAGAGACTGCGGACACAGTGCAGGGGATGACCAGAGACTGCGGACACATTACAGGGATGACCAGAGACTGCGGACACAGTACAGGGATGACCAGAGACTGTGGATAGTACAGGGGATGACTGCTGACCTTTGGGGAGGTGGGGAGCGGGTACCTGACCGCGCGCTGTCTTCCCGGCTTCTGTAATGGCGCTCGGCATGACAGCTGGGTGCCCAGTGCGCATGAGCGAGAAGCACTTGCGCTTTTTGTGATTGGTCCGGCGGCTTCTGGGATCTGTCATGTGTCCCAGGTGCCGCCTTACCATTCACAAAAAGCACCGCTTCCTGCGCATGCGCACTTGGCACCCGGCTGTCATGCCCACACTACAGAAGCCGGGAAGACCGCGCCGCTGGATAGAGGAATGGGTAAGATGAAAGAACAACTCCACGGAAGTGGGAGCGGGTATCTGTCAAATTCAGGTACCCGCTCCCCCCCCTCCCCAAAGGTCAGCAGTCATCTCTATAAGGTCCCGCTGTAGAGCTGAGCGGCCGGCCCGGTATTCTGACACGGCGGCAGTGGAAATACCGGACCGGCCGCTCCATATTCGCTCCATAAGACGCACTGACATTTTCCCCCCTTTTTTTGGGGGAAAAAAGTGCGTCTTATGGTGCGAAAAATACGAAATTCATTTTCTACATCTTGGTTTGTGAAGATCTCCATCAATTTACTTCCTTGAACAGTGTGACAAGTATTCGCGATGTCGGTGCGTAGGCACTGCTATGTCACACATTTAACAGAGCCTGCCTTCTTAAAATGACACCAAGCTTTGGTTTTTTTCTTTGATAGCCCTCCACCAGCACTGTCCACTCTTTCTTCCTCCAAGTGCCCTATTTGCATGCAGGGTGCTAAGTGGGCACCCTTGCATGTGTGGTCCTGAGCTGGGCCATGTGCATCAGTAGACACACACAGCAATGGCAAGTAATGCCTTTGCCTTCGCTTGCGTATAGCTGCTGCTGCTCTCAATGTCTTCTGTGGGACCAGGAATAGAGGAGAGTGGGGCTGCAGCTGGGGCAGTGTTGGAGCAATGAGAGAAGTCAGGTAAATGTTTAGGGCAGGGGAAGGTAGAACAGTTAGTGGAATATGCTTTACTGTAATGCAGGGAATGAACTAAGGTGAAAAGCATTTTGAATTTAAAACCACTTTAACTACAGAGATGCTGAGGTACATTGGTGAGACAAATCCATAAATATAGGAGAGTCAGGCTGGCATGGGAGTCGGGTGGAAGATGGAGTGCTGAGGAGACTGTTGGTCTAGGTCCCCTTGGTCTAGGGGGGCTGTCCTCCAGGCTGGGCTCAGGCTGGATCAGGAGGATCCATTCAGGATCACAGCATTAACAGGATCAAGACCTGGGAGCAGTGGGAGCAAGGAGGCACACCCAGGGATCTACAAGTGAAGAGACTGCCACATGTACCAAGCTTTCAAAGGACAGCGCTGTGCATAATCCTTTATCATTGTCCTGGGAGATCTTCAGAGCAGCCAGAGGGGCTGGTAGTGTCTGCAGGCTGTGGAGCTGGGAATAGTTCTACAGGGAAGAGGAGACATCTCTGCATGTAGTTTGCAACAAGCTAAGCAAACTTTCATGGGGACTGTGAGTCCCTAACCAACCCATAAGTGGCAGTTGCTCCTGATCCATAATGACTGATTGTTTCTGTAAATAGGAAGGAAGCTGTCCCCGTGCATTGATTCAGTTAAGTTGGGCATCCCATAATACCTATTATTTTTAAAGGTACTTATATAACTCTGTCAATTTATGCAGTGCTTTACATACATATATATTGTACATTCCCATCAGTCCCTAACCCTCAAGGGGTGTACAATCTAAGGTCCCTAACTTACATTCATACATACACATACTAGGGCCAATTTAGACAGGATCCAATTCATCTACCAGCATGTCTTTGGAGTGTCGGAGAAAACCAGAGCACCCAGAGGAAACCCACACAGGCACAAAGAGAATATGCAAACTCCAGGCAGGTAGTGTCATGGTTGGGAAATGAACCAACAAGCCTAGTACTGCCAGGTGGAAGTGCTAACCATTTAGCCACTGCGCTGCCCGTTTACCCTCTTACCCTATCCAAGTTACATCCCCTAATAAAATAACAAAAAACAAGCTCATGGACTGTTCACTGACTGTGGATGCAAGTGTTGAAAATGTGTGCTGCTCCCTGTGCGAAGCTTAGAGTGATCCAGAAACACAATGGCCCTCAAGAGGGTAGCACTACAGTTATAATTAAGGAATGGAAATACTAGTAAGGTAAACAGGGCATTATGCAAAGATATGATCCGGATTGATTTTGAACAATAACATTCCTGGGGAGATGATGGACAGAGCAGCAGGCCCCTAGGTTTTAAAATACCTTAAATTAATATAAAGTAATGCATGCACCAGGCAGCAGTTGTCAATATTTACTAGCAACAAGAATTGTATTTTCAATGCAATCTATAGACAAAATGCAATAGTAAAGTGAAAAGAAGTTGTTTTTTTTTAAGAAAAAGTAGAATAGGTCATTTGACTGTGGATAGTGCACAATTATTATTATTATTATATAATATATAACACATCATAAAATGTAATAAATCACTAAAATTTTACAATTTTGGTCATTTATTTCAGTGCAACACAAGAAAAAAAAATAAAAACAAATGGGAAAAAAACATTTAAATTTTCGTGGAAAAAATCAGTAGAAGACTAATAGCTAGAGTGAGATGGGGAGGAAAGAGATGAATAAGGCTGAAGAGGGTTATAAGTAGTAAAAGTGGTTCCAAAAGTTCAAGTTTTTTTTTACCTTCATGCATTCTATGCACCCCCCCCCCAATCCTTACCCGAGCCCCCTCCGATCCAGTGATGTTCACAATAGTCTTGACTGTATGGGGACTTTCTCTCTTCATTGGCTGAGACAGCAGTGGGAGCACATTGGCTCCTGCTGCTGTTAGTCACAGCCAGTGAGCCAATGAGGAGAGAGCGGGGAAGATGGGGACCGAGTCGTAGCTCTGTGTATCTTATGGATGGATAGAGCAGTGGCTCAGGAGCAAGCACGTAGCGGTGCCCCCAGGGAAAGCAGCTCTCCCTGGGGGCTTTGTTCAAGGGAAAAGAGACAGAGCGCTGGCAGGGGACCTGAAAAGAACAGGATTGGGGCATCTGTGTGCAAAACTACTGCACAGAGCAGGTAAGTATGACATGAAAAATGAAGCTTTAGTATCACTTTAACTAGGAACTCAGTTTGTGAAAATGATTTTTTTTCTTGTAAGGCTGCTTTAAAGCTGAATTCCAATTATGGATTTTTTTTCTACATAGATACAGTACATTGGTCCACCTTAGACCAATGCAATATGCATATCCCAACCTGTGGGACCCCTGTGGGAGTGGAGAATCACTGTATTAGTCACCACTCAGCTGTCTTCCAGGTCCCTTGCTGAGTGGCTGCCCCACTGCACAGTGAACACATCACTCAGCACAGGCAAGGCCATGGTTAAGAAGCTACCACCAGTCCTCCTGTACAGGGTTCAGGCCAGCAGGGGGGCCCAGGCAGCTGGCTAATTTGGATGTGGGCAGGAAGGGTGAGCAGGGCAATTACTAGAATAAATCTCCTATGTGGCTGTCTCTGCAGAAGCTGAAAGCCGGCTTCTACTTCCCCTCGCTAGCTTTCAGCTGCTGCTGAGACATACAGGGGACAGGTTGCAGTAATTTACCAGTAATTTAAGGGGGCACTGTGATGGGGATAACTGAACATATGTAAGGGGGCACTTGGATGGTGACAATTGATGTAAGGGGGGCATTCTGATGGGCACACCTGATGTAAGGGGGCACTCTGATGGGGAACCTGATGTAAGGGACCACTCTGATGTAAGGAGGCACTCTGATTGGGACCCTGATGTAAGGGGGCACTCTGATGGGAACCCTAATTTAGGGAGGCACTCTGATAAGGACACCTGATGTAAGGGGGCACTCTGATGGGGACCCTGATGTAAGGAAGCACTCTGATGGGGACCCTGATGTAAGAGGGCGCTCTTATTTGGACCCTGATGTAAAGGGGCACTCTAATAGGGACAATTGATGTAGGGGGGCACTCTGATGGGGACACCTGATGTAAGGGGACACTCTGAAGGGGACCCTGATGTAAGGGAGCACTCTGATGTAAGAAGGCACTCTGATGGGGACACTGATGTAAGGAGGCACTCTGATGGGGACCCTGATGTAAGGGGGCACTCTGATGGGAACCCTAATTTAGGGAGGAGATCTGATAAGGACACCTGATGTAAGGGGCATTCTGATGGGGACCCTGATGTAAGGAGGCAATCTGATGGGGACCCTGATGTAAGAGGGCGCTCTTATTGGGACTCTGATGTAAAGGGACACTCTAATAGGGACACCTGATGTAAGGGGGGGCTCCGATGGGGACACCGGGTGTAAGGGGGCACTCTGATGGGGACCCTGATGTAAGAAGGGACTCTAATTAAGACCCTGATGTAAGGGGGACTCTGATAAGGATTCTGTTTAATCACCCTAATTTAATAACAACCTAATACATACTTGTTTTTTTTAGGTCGTGACACAGTGTGCCAGGCTGTCACTGACTCACACACAGTGTTGACATTCTGACCCCTGACTTGTTTTACTGCACCCCCCAGATCAGATAGGCTACATCTGGCCCTGCATTACAAAGACAATTATGCAAATTGATGGGGGGCACAGTCTCTGATGGGGGTGCTGCTTATGATGGAGTGCGGCTTTGAATGAGTGCAGAGCAGTTAAACACAGCACTTTAATTATGCCTTCTCTACTTTCACAGGTAACTGCATTTATCTGCTACCTCCACTCTTAACCAGACAAACGCATTGACTCCTGTTAAATTCTCACCAAATGTTGTAATTATATCTGTGTATCTGTTGACTTGTCCTCACCTCAGGCGCACTCAGGTTTATGACTGTGGCCTGGTTCCTAAGAATCATCCCCCCCTATTCATGTGAGCCTTATCAGCTTCTAATTGGGGCGGAGAGTTGAATGCTCATTTGAGCATCTCCCTATAAATGTAGTTCAGCTCATGGGGGAGATCTCTGATGGGGGGCACAGTCTCTGATGGGGGTGCTGCTTATGATGGAGTGCGGCTTTGAATGAGTGCAGAGCAGTTAAACACAGCAGTTGAACTAAAGCAGGAGAACTTAAGCAGCAGGAAGACACATCAGCAGCAAGAAACCCTACTGCATGCTGGACAGACTGCAAGGAAACACCCTGGGAAACATCTCTTACATACCTGAGTCCCACTCCGTGTACCTTTTTATATAATACACCCCTCTTCTGCTCTTCATATTACTATCCTCTGTTCACAAATCTCATTTCTTTACCCCTCTGCTCCACCCCAAAACTTGTACATCTCC